CCACGTACCAGGTTCACTAACGTCAGTATGCTCAGTTATAGAACCGACTATAACAAAAATAACGAGTATTTGTTTGATTGTGCACGTGTTGCTGGAGGTCAGGTAATCATACACATACATCATTAACCTAATCTAATATACAAGTTGTCTGAAGTGTGGGCATGAGTGGGTGGGGTTTAAAAATAGCTTATTGACTAACAACAAATGAGTGGTGTAACCGATGTAATCCTTAAGGTTCTGTCATGGACCAATGTTTATAACTGAATAAAGCAAATACATGTAGGAACTGCAAACACTGCAAACTCGCCGGAAACAATATTACATACCTCGGATCAGTACGTTACACAACACCAGATCAGATACAACCCATTTTCTGTGTAATGCAATTTTAAAGGAATTTCTAATCTCTTTGAGCATACGAATTTAGAAACATTAACAACGGAACCAATGGCCGTGAAAATGTTCTGATCAGAAAGGAAGATGATAGGATAAAACTAGTTAATTTCTTTTTCGGAAACCACAAGTGTTCCACTCTCCTCGATCGTTAAGTTTTTAACCAACAGGGTCGGGGTGATCTCGGTAGAGGGCACCTGTCTGGTGCGCGTGCTGGCTGTTCCGGAACACGTGGAATTGGATTCCAAGCCCCTTATCGCCAGGGGTGACGGTAGCTATATCTCCCTCCCCGATCACACCGACTTGTTTTATAGACCTGACATGGGTAGCGAACATAAACTCCCTTCTCTCGCCCTTTAAAGTGCCAGGAAGGGACATTCCTAACAAGGTGAGCTATCTTGTCATCATTAATCAGCAGTTGCTTGGCCAACAAGCCTTGTAGAGTCGGGGATGTTTCCAGTGCATTGTACACCATGCAAACTTCAACTCTGGGAACAGAATGCAAATTACTGTTACAGATCCTGGGGTAACACGATCATCTCCGACCTGCTTTAAGTTGAAGTGAATTCACAACTTCTGCTATGGGGGACTTTCTGAGGATGACTTTGTCCGTTATTTGGATGTAAAAGGCTTGTCTGGTCCGTTTTCAATAACATTCCACTTTAAAAGAGCACAGGTGATTTTTATTAGGATATAAGAGGCTTGTCTATTTCGTTTTCTGTAATATTCCACTTTAAAACAGGGCAGGTGATTTTTATTTGAATGTGAGAGGGTTGTCCCGTTCGTTTTCTGTAATATTCCACTTTAAAAGAGCACAGGTGCTTTTTATTTGAATGTAAGAGGCTCGTCTCGTTTGTTTTCTATAATATTCCACTTTAAAAGAGCACAGGTGATTATTATTTGAATGTAAGAGGCTTGTCTCGTCCGTTTCTGTAATATTCCACTTTAAAAGAGCACAGGTGATTTTTATTTGAATGTGAGAGGGTAGCCTTTTTGGCATTCTGGACTTTGAATGGGTGAACATTGAACAACTTCTACTGGACTTGACTAACGGGCTCCGTTTGTGAGATGTTACTTTATTTAACTGTGAATGGGTAGTCTTACATGTACCTAGCGTTCCTGACTTTGATGAGGTATAACTTAAAATTCATACCAACAATGGCCTAAATAATTCTCTTACTAAATGAGCGTATTGTAGTCTGTTGTATATGTAAGGGACTTTGAGGGGGCCGTCTTGCTTGTTAATAGATGTGACTCTCAAACGGTGATTTAGTCAGCAGGTTGTGACTTTAAAGGATTAGCCTTTCCGGTAAAGTAGATGTCACTGTGACTTTAAAATTGTGGTTTAGTCTGCTGGTTTTTACTTTGGAGGGTTAGCCTTTCCTGTGAATAGATGTCACTGTGCTATTTAGAGAAAATATCGACTTTAAATTGAGCGCTGGTCTAATGTGAGTTGCTGGTAGGACCTGGATGTAGGTCAATGAGTGTCAGCTTTATCTCTCTGCTTCATTACATTGAGCTCTATATAAACATCGAGGCGATGTGGGATCTGTAAGAAAGACAATAGAGACAGCCGTCAGTCGTTGACTTGGTATTGTTTTTAGTCGAGAGGGCAAGTCATAGTGTCTAAAGTCAACAGTGCAATCAAATGAAGTACACAGATACAATAAAAATAATATAATCCCATTATACACATAAAAACCAAATGACAGGGAAATTACCAATGGTTAAGAATGTACTGGGGAAACTAGGTGGGTAGAGTTCTCACTTGGCTTGCGACAGGTATTATCAATACAACAATAAATAACAATAATATTTAGAGTAGAAAAATATCAATGCACGTTTCTTTCACTGATATTCAAATTAAAAGATAACCTTAACACACAATAGCAATTTAAGAATTGGAGCCTTTTATCTGCACCGAAAAGACGTAACAACCTCAAACATCTCGTTGTTTCAGCTTTTTGTCCCGAATGGTTTGGTGCAAATTAGTACTTTGTGGACGAAAATCAATGGTTTCTTTAATAGATCGGCGTTATGGCCTTGAATGCAGTATAGTTTATGAGAGTTTAACAGATTGTCCCATACTTTAGTCGGACTGTATTATTTCCTTGTGATTACAGAGTAGTCTATGTAGAAGGGTTAAAAAGTTTATCACTGTTTTGGTTGTTCTAGATGTAAACTTGGTCAATGCGGTTGTTCCACTTACAGTAGTGACCTCACACAGCACAAACGGCAACTATCGATAGACGATCACACCACTGTATACAGTAATATGGTCTCGGTGATCTACCCACTGTCTTTGTCAGATGCGATGACTATGAATTGCGTCCCACTCTCTGACTTATATCTTACACAATGTTGTCTTTGTACAAATGCCAACATCAATTAGATGTCAAGTATTCCCACCGCTTCTCTCTACTGACCGGCCTCGTTCAGGACAGGGAGGTACATTCCTACTCCATTACTAGTTATTTCGCAACCAAATTATTATTTATGTCTTACCATGAGGAAGTTTAAAATATGGGTTAAAATGACACATATGTAATTACTGAAATAGGACCAAGTATAAGTCTACATAATCAACAACATACTAGGGGCGTTATTTCTGAATGGGCTAATGTTTGCGAGTGCTTTCATCCAAGTAATTTATTCGATTAATGCTTACAATTACAAGAACATAAGGTCAGCTCTCACACAGTCACCTCCAACAAGGTAATCTCTCAATAGGTCACCTCTTGTACATTTGTATCACAAGGTCCCACCCAATAGGTCACCTCTTGTTAGTTCATGGTCTTCTCTCACAAGGTCAACTCCTTATAGATCACCGGTCAAAAAGTCACGTCCTACATGGTCACCTCTTACAAAACCACTTTACACTGCTCACTTCGCACAAAGTCACCTTCCACAAGGTCACCTCTCCTTAAGATTAACTCTCACAAGATCACCTCTCCTTAAGATTAACTCTTACAAGGTCACCTCTCCTTAAGATTAACTCTCACAAGATCACCTCTTGCTAATCAGCCTCAAGCACTGTAGGTTTACTATCGTAAGGAACCATAGGATTATCCTAAGGATTATTTGTTTATTATCCTAAGGAACTACAGGTTTATTATCCTAAGGATTATTTGTTTATTATCCTAAGGATTTTTTTATTATCCTAAGGAACTATAGGATTATCCTGAGAAACAATTTGTTTATTATCCTAAGGAAATATTTGTTTATCATCCTAAGGAACTATTTGTTTATTATCCTAAGGAACTACAGGTTTATTATCCTAAGGATTATTTGTTTATTATCCTAAGGATTGTTTTATTATCCTAAGGAACTATAGGATTATCCTGAGAAACAATTTGTTTATTATCCTAAGGAACTATTTGTTTATTACCCCAAGGAACTATAGGATTATCCTAAGAAACTATAGGATTATCCTAAGGAACTATTTGTTTATTATCCTAAGGAATTATTTGTTTATTATCCTAAGGAACTATTTGTTTATTATCCTAAGGAACTATTTGTGTATTACCCCAAGGAACTATAGGATTATCCTAAGGAACTATTTGTTTGTTATCCTAAGGAACTATTTGTGTATAATCTAAGACTATGGGTTTATTATCATAAGGAACTATTTGTTTATCATCCTACATATTGTTTATTATTCTAGGGAACTACAAGTATAGTCCAGAAGAGCGATATGTTAATCATTTTACGGAATTTTATTATACCATTATAAGGAATTAACTTAATTCTATCATCCAAGATGATTCCTTTTTTTTCATCCAAGGAGCTGTATGTTTTTCATCCTAAGGAACTTTACATCTATCGTCATAACGAACTTAAGTTTTATCATTCTAATGAACTTTTTGTTTATCATCCCCAGGAACGACATGTCTATCAGTACACTCGTGCTACGATGTATAGTTTCAGAAACACAATCACTGCGAGGGCACAGTTGTTGTTGACGTAACTTTACTGTATATGCTAATGTTCATTTGTATATTATGTGTGTCTTAATAACTTTCCTAACTTCACACTGCAGTAGGTAACTTCCATGCGTGTCTCAAGACCCCTCTTACTTGTAGGTTTCAGTAGGTATATTGCACTACTAATTAAGTTTAAATTACCAGGCTTGCCTTACATCATCCTACACGATTTGGTTGGTGGTATGTCACTATTCCCTATCTGGACGGTATATCGACCTTGATCACCATGTTTGTTGCTTTTAGTGCAAACATGTTGAGCGTTTGATGTAATACACAAGAGTTACAGGACCAAGTACAGATTCATTAATGACTCCCTTTGAAGGAGATGCGGTATCTGTGGTCCCTGTTCGGCTGTAGTGTCCCCAACAGGACATTGATATATGTCAGACATCACTAAGTATTGATAGGCTCCCACGCGACAGTCATTCATATACATTCAAACATAAATGAACACGAAATTATGTTATTTTCACAAACATGGCCACTGATCAAGCAATCATTGATGTCTGCTTTTTTCAAGTTTAGTAATTAGTGATCGAGGGAGTATTGCAGCGAGGCGGCGGCATTTACTACGGGAACGTATAGTCGGCTTGCGCGTGCCACAGCTCAAGTGCGACGCGGCACGTGATTGGTTGGGAAAGTTGGAGTAGGAAAGCTAAGCCTGACTGGTTTACATGTATCAGAAAGCCTTGAAAATACCTGGTGTTCCCTACAGCAACCTAGTCTCTGACGTATACACCTGGGTAACGTGTCTACTTTAGATTATAGTTTCTATACCTGGGAAACGTGTCTTCGTTATACTGTAGTTTCTATACCTGGATAACGTGTCTAAGACAGACTGTAGTGTCTATACCTGGGTTACGTGTCTTCGTTAGACTGTAGTGTCTTTACCTGGGCAACGCGTCTAAGTCAGACTGTAGTGTCTACGTCAGTCAGGCTGCAGTGTCTACACCTGGGTAACGTGTCAAAGTAAGTTTGTTGTGTCTATACCGGAGTAACGTCAGATTATAGTGTCTTCTACCCGGAATTTCGGTGCCTTAACACGGGCTATTGTGTGTGTATACGCGGACCTTAGTGTTCCCACGGGAATAAAGTGTCTACATGGAAGCGTATGTGTCTACACGACACTGGCGTATCTTACCGGGACTATAAGTGTCTTTACAGACTATAAGTGTCTACAAGGGTCTGTGTTTTTGACACAGGATTACCTAGTTCACAGGTAGGTTTAACCACACTTCTATCAACGCTCACGTATGTATTCAATAATTGTTCAGAATAATTCGTATATTTGTGTACATATTTTTTAAAACAATAATGTAAATATTGATTTTGTAAAAACAAACTCCTATACTTATCAAGGCACTATCTCTGAGCTACGCGCTGCGTCATTCAGGAATTATTTTACCGACATTCGGGTCCTCTGAAGTTCCTTTTACTGATAGTTTCCATATAAAAAGACCAGTAATTGGGTTTTGTCACGGTCAATATAGGTACTTAAGGGGCTGTTTTGTCCCTCGTTACCCCATTATGTGTGGATGAAACAGCCCCAGCGTTTGATACCAAGACCACATGCCACAATTAAAATTTACCCCCTGTCAGAACATGTTGTACGCCCCGCTGTGGATGTTAAAATCCAATCATTCCATATCATTTGTATGATGTCTTATTCAGATTTTACAGGAACATTTGTTCTTTCTGGTAGCTGAAGGCAATACATGAACTTTCACTCAAACAAAATAACGCTGCTCTGTTTTACATGTCTCCTCCAGCGTGTGCAAGTTTTTTTTATTATAATCTATGTATTTCTTCCTTCTCAAGAGCGCTATCAAAATGTGCTCTCCTGGGCTGGAGGGAGGAAAGTGCTTTGGTGGTGTATCTCCTTATTTTACAAAAAGCTGATATACCTTGTCGAACTTTACATTTTCTAGACGAATCAAAATTTTATCAAAGGACGAATGTTCCCATGAAACATGATAACATTTAAACATGGTTTCTATGGCGACATTAAATCTAGATGCACGAGCAGTTCGCCCGGTGCGATAAGGTAAAATATGAAATGTTACACGTACATATGTAAATGATAACTGGACATCTGAGGCCCCGTGCTTTCTGAATCTGCTTCCGTATCAACAGCAAATGAGATTAAACCGTTCCTTTATCGGAGCAGTGTGACTGCGGGGCCATATCAGCTTTTGTAATATTTTAAATACTACACAGTCAAATATAATAACGAATGGAATTAGAGGTTGAGGATAAGAGGGTAAGTGTGTAAGTGGAAAGGGCGGTATCAAACAGGGGTGGTATGTATAATATACAGGACAGGCATTGTGGTTAAGTCATTATACCTACACAATTGTAGCTACTTGTATTCTTGAGTCCATGTTCGTCGCGTTGCCTGCCTGATGACAGATAGACTAGTTAGCATAGTCTACGGTAACTAGTTACCACAATCTGACAAATGTTTGTATACCGCGTGAATGAGCTGTAATTGTTTATAAAACTAAGCACGAGTGATTTTGGTAAGATTATAATGGTACAGAAGCGGTCGGCCACGTGTGGACATGTAAGATTGATTGCGTGCGACTCGATGTTACCAGTCACGGCCAGGTACCCTCGGTATACCGCCGCATTCCGCCGGATATGTGAATATGTTTAATTACTACACACTAATTAGCGCCGCTTGCAAACTCTGCCCCTCCAACCCCGGGCCAGCACTTAACGTCTTTGGCGTTGATTGTCAATCACATATATGCATTGGCGAGGCTAACAACCAGTTGGATTTCATTGCTGTTCTGTACATCTGAGTCCTACTGTAACGTAGATATAATAGCCCCACTGATTGGATGTAAGTATGTGGTGCATGACCCGAAAGTGAAATTACTCACATTGCACACGCGCCTGTTAACAAGATGTGTGCTATTTTCCGGCTCGTGCACATCTGACGACGCTGCTACCCCATGTATTCTAGATCTGTTTCCGTATCGACAGCAAACGATATATTTATTAATGATTAACCATCCCCATCACGTCTGTTCTGTATCAAACTTACAATTATTAAAACAGGAAGTTCGCACCTTCATGATAGAAGCAGACCCTGTAGTGAAGGAGTGGGGTATACGTTTGACAGGCTACACTCTGCCTGCTCCCATCAGACGGAGTAGACAGGGACAGGTGTCACAAATGGCGCGTATCCCCCAAGAGTGCAAGTTTAATCGTCACTAATACTGCGGAGTATTTTTGAACAAAGATTATAATGTGAACAACTGCTGTACAACATCCACACTTTGCTTCCCTGTCATCATGCCCATTATAAGCATTGATCAGATCAATAGATCAGTATAGGATTCGACCGTCGTCCTCTCACAAAAACTCCGGCCATTACCCCTCCCCGTCCTGGCTGAACACTCTGATCATCTTATTGTCCTGTACCGAATCGGTCTCTTTTCGGACGATCCGGCCATCACTGTCTCCCTAACAAACAGTCGTCCCCTCCAGGTCCCAGCTGAAAAACTGCGATCAAGATATTGTCCTGTACCGAATCGGTCACTTATTGAACGGTCCGATTATCACTGCGTTCCTTACTTAACAGTCTGGCAGGTTTTCTTTACTGAATATTCCGGCCATTACCCTATCCCTTACTGAACATCACTCCTGTTTTTTACTCCGCAGTCTCACCGAACACAATTCGTTCCTTGCTGAATAGTCCGGTTCTCCCCGTCACTTACGGATTAATCCGGCTATTACTTTTTATTTTCCATTGAACAGTCTGGCAAACCACCCTGTCCCTTACCTAATAGTCCGGCAATTACCCTGCCCCTGCTGAACAGCCCAGCTTCCTGTTTCTTACGATACTCATGTCGTACTCGACAGTTGAGTAAATGATAAACTACTACTTCTTTACAAGCAGCCAGTGGATGCAAACATGATAGACAGACCGTTCATACTTATTTTCAGATATTTCCCTGCTTTGAAGACCATGTCCTAACACATATATAACTTTCTTCCTGTTTTATTTAATTCTCAGTTAAATATGATTATTTGATAATGAAACTTTTTATTCATGTAATTTCTTGTATCAATATCAAACAAGAGAAAGAGGTATGTCTGCTCTCACCATTAATGACAGAACACCTTCCCTGTACACGATACTAGACCTTAGGGAGCTGGCTGTGTGGTCTTGCCTGGATAACATTTATTGGTACGGTCAATGACCCAGATAACACCAACATATACAAATTACTCTGAATCTCGACCTTTAAGTTTAACTTGGTTGTTGATTCTAGTACTGCGTTCCAAATGTGTCATTACATGTGGTATTTCGCTTTGAAATCACTTATTTGAAAACATGCTTCTTTAAAATTTGTGCACAGGACATCACAAATTATAAAACAGTGTCGGTGTATAATTTGTTTGATGACCTTGAACTTTATTTTATGTTAGTTATTTCTCACGTCTTTAACCCCTGATCAAACGCATCTCCCTGTCCGCTGCCAATGTGCACTTTTATCGACATGGGCGCTGTTTTTGTACGACCTCATCGATGACCTTTAGATACGGGAGTGATAAGTATCTAATGGAATTAGTGTCAAATGTGATTCATGTTTAATCTGTTTTGACTTTTTTGTATCAGTAACACACAACTCCTGCTAACCTTGACGTTCAGATACGGCGGAGAACTAGATGCTAGATATAGTGTCCATACTGTACATATATCTACTAAAGCCTCGGTGGAGGATGAAAAATGAAAGGGGAAGGATTTCGCCGGTCTATTGCTTTTTACGTTGAAATTGACCGCAGAATATAATAACAGACCCGGAGCCGCAGACCTTTTTCCGGACCAGCACGCGCTGTTCAGTGCAATAGGTCCCTTTCATCCCCCCCCCCCCTTTTTTTTCTCTGACATCTCTTTTAGGTTTGATAACCAGCGACTTAGGAGGACTCGATCAGATATTATCCACTAAACAAAAATGGCTGTCATATTATGGAGGTATGTGGACCCTGTGTTTTCTCTCTCATTAACACCTGTAATGGCTCCACGCTTTCTGAAGAGCTTGCCTCACTGATTATGAAATCCTTTGTATCCTGGGTTCACAGCGGTGAGCAGCGAAAACAGGCTTTATCTTCATCGGAACCTGGATTTGTGACGTCACACACCCATGCTGAAACATTCATAACAATCATCTGGAAAACTGTGAAAAACCTCTTTATTATCTCTTCACGAGTAAGGAATTTGGGTAATAACAATTTTGACAGAGAATTTCACTATTTAATTCAAACGCCATTTATTTTAATATAGCGTGCCTGCTGCTTTTGTTGAAGCTGTGTGATCTCGGGGCGACAGAGGGATGGGTAAGATGGATGGAGAATTAATCACACAGGAGCTGAGATGGCGCTAACCCTGAAAATTAAATGAACTCATTCGAACATAGTGAATGCTGGATGCTAGTTTCACTACCGTGGCTGTAAGTCCGAACGGTGTATGTGAAGACAAACTCAGTCAATTTAACAACATCAGCGGATGTGCACATCATGCAACACATGTTCCAGTTTCCGTCTTGTTTTCTGAAAATTGTAAATGAAACAGACGGTTGTAGTGGAGATGTGAGAGTTAACTACTTGTCTATATAACTCATTACAGACGAGATTGCCTCTGACACAGGCATTAGTCAAGGAGAAACCCGACGGAAATAAGGCTTGAAACGTTTCACCATCTTTAACGTCGTTCTTTTCAATCACTGCAGTGTTATGGTGGAGAGACAGCAGGTGAAGAGGCTCTCTAGTATTCAGACGAGAACCGGATGTACATATTGAAGTGCATACTTCAACGCATGTGTAGTATACGCCGACTTTAACTTGTGAATCACGCCTATATATCCGTCACGATGCTCTCAATCAACTTGTCAATGACGTGACTGTGGCTAAAAAATAAGGAAAAGGGAAGCATCTTTTTAAACATTTTGTTTGAAGATGTAGAAAGTCGAAAAATGTAAACATTTTCCTACATCGTATGACTATTTCGTCCATTTAAATATCATCAGTTTGTTATAAGGTAAAATGAGAGAAACATCCATGTCTAAAGTGTCGGAACCTTCATGTAAAATACATCGAAATGGGAGAGGTGCCAAAACAATCCTTATAACGTCACACATTTACAACGTAAGATTATAGGTAACACTAATTCGACAATTGATAGACCGTGACAGAACCAATATTTTCATT